CCATTTCATTTTTTTTTGTAAGCAAATATGTTAAAAAAAATTGACCTAAACGAGGGGGGGGGGTTATGTCAATGTTCTACGTAGTTGATAATCAAACAGACAATTATATGAAAATACCCAAAACCTACAATAGAGACTTTCAATCTCATCCAACAGGAGTTATTTGGTAGGTCCAGTAGAGGAAAACAATAAACAAACAGCGGTTAGTGTTTTAAGTTTCCACTCCCCATATACCAACTTTTGATTTTCAGGATTAAATCAGATTAAAAAGCAATATAATTAAATCAAATAAAGAGTAATCACATTCTGGGGATGTGGAACTCGTCCTTTGTGCTGGTTTGGTAAACTGTAACCTGACACTCTTTGTTGTTACTTTTCCTGACTGCAAAAGGAGAGCAATCTCAGCGTCATCCAACATAAAGAAGCTTACATAGTGTTTGTTGGGACTCCTTCGCTTCTGGACATCCTGCACGGTTACTTCTTGGACGGTGCGCCGCGGCATAATGTCCTCCTCTTCCACTGACCGTTAAAGCAACAACAACAACAAAAAAGCGCAGAAATTCCACTCCAAGTTTCCTACGAGCGATCTCAGCCGGTTGGAAAAGTTTGCCTTTTCAGCACCTCTCTCTCTGTCATCCACGCAGTTCTGTTCCGTCACCCGTGGCTCTGACAAAGCCCGTTTTCCGCAAATTTACTGCGTCAGATTTCCTGTCCAACATTCAGTCGATTTGTGCATGAAGGTCTGTAAGGATCCTGGATCTCCTCCTTTCTTTCTTCCTTTCTTCCCAGTTGTGCCTTGTCCCGATCCGCTTACGACTTCCCAACAAAACTCCCAGCCTATCCCAGCTCGCCCACTCCCATCTGAGCAGCTGGAAAGCGCAACTCTGCTCCGTGGACCGGCCCTATGGCGTCACCGTTAACCACACGCTGCCACAGCATCAGAGAGTAGCTTTTATTTTTATTCATTGTATTTATAATCAGACTGTTTGGAAGAAATATAGAGGTATGCTATATACACACACACACATATATACACA